TACATACATACATACATACATATGTTTACATGTGAAGATGATACAACTATGTTCTGTTCTTTGTACTCAGCGTTGGGCGTATTCTTACCGACAGATCCAGAGGTGAGTGCTGAGGATCTACTGCATGGGTTGGTATGGGTGCTTGTGTACCCCCTTTCTCAGCCATGGTACCGTCCTGCGTGACAAGTTGTATCAAGATGTGAATGGTAAGTAGGTAGCCGATATAAAGAATGGGCATAATACGAAACAAGGCGAGACAGAGGGCACACACACATATGCACACTTCTGTACAGCTATGCAGGGATTTGCGTTAAACAACATAACTAAGCATGGGATGTGGTCTAGGCTATATATATAAACGTACCACAATAAGTTTTACGTGCGTAATTGGAGTAGCTAGCCGATATAGACCATGCAGCACACTGAATTTAGGACAGATATCACACACACACACGCACACATATATATATACATGTATATATCTACACATTAATCAGGCATGGGATACGACCTGGATATATATAAACGTACCCTCCTTAGTTCTACCTACATCTGCGGAGGTGAGAAAACTACGTAAACGGATGCTCACACACTCTAGCTTCACCACAGGGAGGTCCATACATATGCATCTACAGATAGAAACACGGGAAAATGATATAGTTTACGGAACAGTCGTGATACATACCTTATTCATATACCCAGCTTTGCTAAACTTTTACGTCAAATAAACTAAGAGATATATGCAGTGTACATCGATAAGTGTACATCTATATGCTGATGTAGTTATATATATATATATATACATATATATATATATATATGTGTGTGTGTATATCTACATACATACGTGTCTATAGTATTTGAGTGCATCTGCATGCTTCCGGCCTTACTAAAAAAACGTAGATGTTCTCATGCCTACAGCGTCAGCGTAGAGCTACATCTGGATAAAGTTAGGATCTATGCTTCCCATTTAACATGTATATATGTATGTGTATGATGTATGCTACACACTATGTTATGTAGTCAAGTGTGAATTGAGCATACACAGCACAGGTGACTAGTAAAACACACACACACACACACACACACACACACACACACTAACACACACACACACACACACACTAACACACACACACACAATATATATATAA